ACACCACTCATCATACACCACTCATCATACACCACTCATCATACACCGCTCATCATACACCACTTATCATACACCACTCGTCATACACCACTCATCATACACCACTCATCACACACCACTCGTCATACATCACTCATCATACACCACGCTTCATACACCACTTATCATACACACTCATCATACACCACTCATCATACACCACTTATCATACACCCCTCATCATACACCACTTATCTTACACCACTCATCATACACCACTCATCATACACCACTTATCACGCACCACTCATCATCCAGTTAGCTAGTTTCAAGAGCTCTAGCTCCAGTTAGCTCTAGTTTCAAGAGCTCTAGCTCCAGGTAGCTCTAGTTTAGCTCCAGTTAGCTTTAGTTTCAATAGCTCTAGCTCCAGTTTACGTGGCAGGCGCAGCACTTTGAACCTCCATGTGCAGAATTCGTGGCAGGCGCAGCACTTTGTGAACCTCGAGGTGCAGATTTCCTGGCAGGCACGGCGCCTTGTGAACCTCCATGTGCAGATTTCGTGGCAGGCGCAGCATCTTGTGAACCTCCATGCGCAGATTTCGTGGCAGGCACAGCACTTTGTGAGCCTCCATGTGCAGAATTCGTGGCAGGTGCAGCACTTTGTGAACCTCGAGGCGCAGATTTCGTGGCAGGCACAGCGCTTTATGACAGATTTCGTGGCAGGCGCAATACAAAATGCATTTTCGAGAGATAGCGGACGCACGAAATGAAGCGTTTTTCAATAGAAAGGGTGGCTCCGAAGCTGGCAAGTCAAGCTTTGCGGAACAACGTGTGCGAGACGGTCTCGGGTCATGGTTGGGTCATGCTCGGATCATGCTCGGAATCGTCCCTCCATTGCGGTTAGAGTTTTCGCTTGTTTCTTGAAGCGCAGATTTCGTGGCAGGCACAGCACTTTGTGAACCTCCATGTGCAGAATTCGTAGCAGGTGCAGCGCTTTGTGAACCTCGAGGTGCAGATTTCGTAGCAGGCACAGCACTTTGTGAGCCTCCATGTGCAGATTTCGTGGCAGGCGCAGTACTTTGTGAGCCTCCATGTGCAGATTTCGTGGCAGGCGCAGCACTTTGTGAACCTCCATGTACAGATTACATAGATTTGGTGGCAGGCGCAGCACTTTGTGATTATCCATGTGCAGATTTCGTGGCAGGCGCATCACTTTGTGAACCTCCATGTGCAGAGTTCGTGGCGGGGAACCTCCATGTGCAGATTTCATGGCAGGCACAGCACTTTGTGCAGATTTCGTGGGAGGCACAGCGTCTGTGGAGCTGTGAGAACTGGCGACTTTGTAGTACAACTTTAGTACGCGGAGTATCTGCGGAGCTGGAAGATGAGAACTGGCGACTTTGTAGTACAACTTT